CGTGGTATTTTGCTAGCCCAAGTTACACCACAACAACAGTGCATGTCAGTTTTCAAATTAAATACAAATGTCCAACTATAACTTTACAGCTTTCCTTTAGAAACAAGTTTGTAGAAGCTGAATAGGCTAACCAGCTGTAATAACACAAAACCCCAAATACCTCGTCTTGTGATAATAAAAACTAAAATGCAACTCTTACCACTCCCAGTTTTTCAGAAGCGTAAGCTTTCCACAGACGAATATTCATCTCATCTGAGCCACACAGAATATATTTGTTATCTGAAGTCCATTTTACAGTGATGACATGCTGCATTCGCTTTGTATGATATACCTCCCTAAAGCAGAGAAACATTTTTAAATAATTTATTATCACTTTTCCCACCAGCATTATCTTCAGATAGCAGAAAGCATTCTGTTCAAGGCAAAATATATTTACTTTTTGTCATTTCTTTTTTTTTTTTTTTTTAAGCACTGTGTTGATCTTAAGTCTACATAGAAAGAGAATCAAATAAACTGTGATGGGCAGACTGATAAAGGACCACCTAGGATGTTTTTTTAAATTAGTGTTTTCATAGAAATTACAGTAATAGCTGTAATAGTGATAGCTAAAGAGTAAGTCTTTTTGCAAAACATGCCATGTGCATACAGTACGATATGCAGTCTAAATTTATTCAACTTTTATTATAAATCTTGGATATGGATACTCAATTTCCTAATTTAAATTTTCATTTTAAAATAAAACAGAAAGCAATGGAAGTTAGGAGCTTTTCAGACTGGAGGGAGATCAAAAGGCAAAACTGGAATATCACCAGGATCCTTCTTGACAGATACTCTTAATTGCCCTCTCAGTTTTCCAAGTGGGATCAGAACTTCCATTTGGAGAATTTTCTCCATTTCACTGGATTAATTTCAGCTGTGAAATTCTGAGAAAGCCCAAAACTCTTTAGAAGCTAAGCATCTCAGAATGCCCTAGCCAGCTTATATGAGGCGAAGTCCGTCACCTGTAGCGCACTTTATCACTAGATCTACGGCCACCACAGAGAGGGGGACGAAGAAGAAAATTCTTTCCATAGACCTTTAGTCCTTGTGAAATAAAGCCTGCTACTGCAAAATTATGGGGTCCACAAACTTACCCTCAATGATGTCTTTTAACTTTACATATCACCACTTTTGTGAACGTTACTACTTCATAGAAAGGAAGGTCTGTAGAATATGGATCATCTGACCCCACTAACCCCATATTTAATAATACAAGAATTAAAAAAAACCAAAACAAACTCACGAAGGAGCTGCAGTACCTAATTACATTTAAAATATTACTACAGGACAGGAAGAAAATGAAAGCTATCTGTAGATTAGTTATAAAGGAAAACATAAACAGCCCCTTCTCAATGTTTAATAGTTACATTGAATAATGCATACGTAACTGCATCAATCAATAACAAAAAAATACCCCTCCCCCAATCATTATTTCAACATTTTTATCCTCCAAACCACCTAGAATTTGACCTAGTAGCAACTTTTGAGGGGGATGCGATTGGATAGAGGAAAGCAACTAGAAGTAAAAGAAAGTTAAGAATAAGGAGAAAGAGGAAGAAGTGACAACAGAGAATAATGAAGGTAGGTTTATGAAGAACAAGTGATAACAGACAGAGCTGATAACTTGCTTCAATTTTCATCAAACTGAAGAAAATAATAATAGAGCCACAGTAGATCCAATCTGAACTTCAGCAAAATATTTAATACAGTGCCTTATGAAATCTTACATGAAAAACTAATACAAAGTGAGTTGTACTCAAGGCTTTGTCACATGAATCAAAACCTGGTTAACAAAATATGAACGAAAGGTAATAAGTGTACTGAAACAGATCACAAAAGTGTCCCAAAACCAATCCTCAGGAATTCATGCAACCATGCCTTTCACATAACGTCTTTAGCAATCATTCATATAAAATGAAGGCAGTCCCTAGAAAACTAAATGCTACAGTGTTGTAAGGCACTGCAAACTTAAGTGGTGAGAGAGTACGAAGTGACCTAAAAACATCAGATTCATAAAAGGAAATAAAATGGGATTCATCTTGGTAAAATACAAATGAATACACCCAAGAACAATAATCCACTGTAATTTTAATCCAAAACTGCATAAATACTGCAATCCGTTAAGTGGAAGTTCTGCTCTAATACATACTCCAGCATTATCTGTGAGCTACATGACCTGTCAACCTCAGGTTATATAGAGAGTGAGATTTCATTATTCACAGGAAGTGAATAGCCCCGTGAAGAAGATGTTAACGAACGAATTAAGAATTTTGAGGACTAGGGAGGGAGGTCACTGGAATGAATGACAGCAAGAGAAAGGTATAAAAATCACTCACCTGCTGTGACCTTTGTCTACAGGGAAGATGCGGATAGACTTATCAAAGCTGGCAGAGACAAATTCTTTCCCAGTGGGTGAATAATCCACATCAAGAACAGCAGACACGTGATCCATATGCACCATCACAGGTGATTCAAGAAAGCGCATATCAAATGTATATAAGCTTGAAAATAAATACACCAACAGCTCAGTATCTTAACAACTCCTAAGTAAATAGTATGTTTTTGCTGAACAGCTACTTTATTCATACATAAACCACACTTAAGGATAGATCCATATTGCAAAGGGAACTCTAAAAAACTGCTCCTAACACATGAAAAGAAAGAATGATGTTTATTTAGGGCTTGGAAAAGTTTATTAACCAGAGGCTTTAGTCATTGGACCAGACCTAGGTGTGTTGCTCACTGTCAAAGACCAGATAGTCTCCACAATTCCCTTCATCTGTTCCTAAGTCACTGACAAAACCTATTTCTCCAACTACACTGTCCTACTTTACTCAGTCTTCAGATATAACTATATAACCTGAATTTAGAAAAACATCTCAACCATTACGGCAAGCCTATCAACTCTGAAATGTTTCTAAATATTCCCATATTGGGAACTCCTAGTAATTCAGAGTGTACTGTGAAGTTCCCATTTGGGCAGCAACCTTTCCTACTGCCTAGTTGTCTAGACAATGTAGGAGTTGAAGGAAAGCTTGGTGCTTCAATGCATGGAGATACTAGTTCAGCAGAGATACTAGTTCAGTATCTGTAGAAAAGTATTACATTAAAAATAAACACACAGCTGCTGGACCACAGCTGGTTTGTTCTTCAGCACTTGAAAGCACAGGTAAGGTTTACCTGTACTTCCTTTGAATCCAAAAGCCCACTGATACACAGCAAGGCATAACTACTGAGTAGGTCATTCATTTTCCTAGTACCAATAAGCAAAGGTGTTTTACAGACAAAGCATTTAATGAAAACTGCTTAAGATATACTATGTAGTAGAACTGTTGTATTAAGAATTTCTAATTCAGCAGGTTTCTCACCCCCTTGCTGCAAATGAACACGTAACTGGAATTAATCCCATGACTCTCATTCAATAGTTTTCTGAAAACTATTGCTTTTACCTTCTAAATGCCCCAAGAGAAAGCATGCTAGCATCATATTTGAAACCGCTACTTCCTATAATCAGCTAACACTCGCACGTCTGTTGTTGATATATGCACTTGCTTTTGCACTTAGACAAATGGCTTTAGTTTGCAAGAGGACAGTGGCCTTTGACAGTAACAGCTACCGTTTTTAGTTTAGCAAGAGAATTAAAAAAAAACCAAAAAACTACTCACCACAAAAAAAAAGTATAAACAGATGAGGTTGCCTGGTAGCCTTACCCATACCATAACCAAAATAGGTGAAAAGCAGTACCTTAGATACAACACCCACTTTTAAGGTCTGAGCAAGATTCCATTTCCTTGGAAAAACAGCCCTAAGATAAGTGATAAAATTCCTACGTTCTAGAAGAAAACAGTGATCTATTGTTAAATCACTGACTTCCTGGAAAATAGATACAGAGCACATTTTGCAGTGGCCTAGTTTTGAAGAAACAGCTTTTTCACTACCAGATTAGCTGTTCATATGAATAGTATTGTTCAAAGTTAAAAAAATGCTCTGAGACATTGAAAGGATAAATACTACAGTCTCTGGAACTACTTCACAAAAGACTTTTTTTTTTTTAAGTAAATGTTCTCATCAAAATGGCTGGTCAGTACAATATATCAGGCTTCACAAGTGCTGGGAAGAAAATACATTGCCTCAGACTGGACCAACAGTACTTATTTCCCAGGTCCTGTTGCAAGTTAGGGTTGCATTGGTTCAGCTGCATTTTTTGTAAATTACACTGCCTTCCTCCCACCCCCAGGTACTAAAATACAGAGAAAGAGGCAGTCTACTGTCAATCAGTGAGCCTATAATTCTCTAGGTTTCTACTTCAGTGATCCAATTTTAGAGTTTAAGTAACTCCTTAAAATTTATTTTAGCATAGTAAGTCACCAACACGCAGTCTAAAAACATAACATGATCAGGATTATCAAAAAGCAAAGTCACACTTACTTGTAATCTTCATTTGCTGCAGTAAAAACAAAAGCTTCCATGGGGTTCCAACACAGTGTATTTGTGCGCATGTTCAAGATAACCTGAAAGATATTTACACATTGCTACCTTCTTACTGGCAGTAAACACTCACTATAGTTCAAAGCTACCTATAATACTGGAGACCACTTTCTAGATACAGAATTATGGCGAACGTTTCCTTAGCAGTGTTAGAATTGGAACATGAGCACTTCCCGTCCCCCATGATATGCTCACTGCTTTGTGCTATGCTGCAATTAAGTTTTCCTCACTAAATCATCTTAGAAGCAAATTCTACTAAGTGGTCACTTAATATGTAAACATGGAATTTCTGAAAAAATTCACTTCAGATTTACAGGAACTTTTAGTTTAAGTAATCTGTAAACATACCTAAATAAATGGTTATTTCAAGGGATATAGTCAGTAACTGACTCTGGGAACCAGCATTTGCAAAGCTATTCTAACATTTTAATGATGTCCCAGTTATTGCTTCCTCTTCATTATTTTATCTCTGCAACAGCAGTTCACTAGTTCTCCAGGACAGTTGCCATTTCTTGGTGTGCCAAGCAATACGTGTAGCAGTTACCGTGTTGTAATCTACTCACCACTATCACTGCATTAGCAGCGAATCATTCACTATACATCCATAAGATTCCTGCTAGTAAGCAGATGGCTACAAAGAGGCCAGTTTGCCTCGAAGTGGGAGGAAGGCAGCAGATGACAGCCTAATAAGACCCTTTGCTAACAGTGGGTTAGACAAGAGGTGTTAAGAAGTTGTATGTCAGATGTCCCCACCTTGCGGGACAGCTGTGGCCGTGAGAGCCAGGCCCCTGCGAGGGAAAGGGAGGCAGGGAGGGGGTGGCCTGACACGCTGTACAACAAAACAGCTTTGGCTTCTGCCAAGTCTTGGAGGAGCTTTCAACTCTTGTATTTAAAAATAAATCCCATGCAGTATGCCTGACACAAAGTAGCTGTATAATTACAGAGCAACTTATTAACAAACTGAACAACTCTAAACAGGATTTTCCACAATGCTCCAGGACAGCCATAATCCTACCTGAAAATCCTGAATTTTGGGTGTTTAACTCCATGGTACTCCAAACTAATTTTTGTTCCCAGCTTACTATACCAAACACCATAAATTTACATACATATAACAAAATACATTTGTACAATTATAACTTTTACACGAATGAACACAATCTCAAAGCAAGTGAATAGTGCTTTAGTCCCAAATAGTCCCAAAAGGACTGTGATCCATGACTACAAATTCTCATGATTTCATTCTCCATAAATTTTCATGTCCTAGACAACATTATCCTGTTCAATATGAAATCTGTGCTGAAAAATACTACTTATTTCAGAAGTTACATGCATCCAGAACTGAACATAATCATCAGATGTCTCAAGTGATCTCTACTTTCACAAGTGACTTCACTGAGTACACAGGCCACTAAAAGGCCCTGTGCTTGCAGTAATGTGACAACTAGAATTTGTTCAGATTTCAGTATTGTTCTTCTAATTATAAGCCTTGCACATATCTGGGAAGCTAAAAATCAAGGAGGGTTTTTTGTTCTTCCCTGTCCAAGTTTTTCAGCCACTGCAAAACGAGTACACAATTAATGTTAACACATGATGTGTATAGTAAATATTTTTAAATCATGCCACCAAATAACTCTGATATTGCTGAAAAATACAATTCTTTAGAATTGGTCAGGTTTGGGCAAAGTCTGTGCTCTGCCTCTTGCTACACTACTTTTGCACCCAAACTTACAAGCATTTTGTTTACTTCAGCAGTGACATTTGAACTAAAATAGTGTCCAAGGATTCTTTGTAGTTATAGCATTATATTCAGTAACAACTATGCAAACAACCTGCACTGGAAGTGATTTAAGTTGCTGTAAATATGTTAATTGTGGTATTTCAGAACTATCTAAACCTGCATCAGGGCTATCTTTCAACACTATTTATTAATCAATTGTAGACACACTCAATCATTTGATAAAAAAGTCCTTACTAGACAAGTCAAAGTTGTGAAGTGCCTGAGGACTTAAAATAAACAAACCAAGATAGCTAACTATGATCACTTGCCTACAAAGAGTATCAGCCTGGAGATACTAACACAAAACCAGATCTCTTAAAAAATTAATCTGTCCTCCTTTACTATCTACAAGGTATTTGGCTGAGCTGAACAGCTAAGAAGGTTACAAGCAATAGACAACACAGTCCCTGTCAGCTGTTTAAGTGCTAAAGTCTATCATTAAAACACCCTAAGATTTCCTCTGAACCCACAGGTTGCACAAGAATGACTTTCAAAGCGTACCAACTTCTATTAAACATCCTTTTGTCACACAACAGGAGTGCTTCCCTTCCTCTTTTTCCAGCTTAGTTGTGCTAGTCCTTGTACTTGTGCAGCGCCTCACAATCTTATCCATTCCTCTTTGAAACTCAAGACTTTAAAACTCACAGACAGGACAAACTGCTTCATGATGTGGAAAGTTGTACTCCTACTTCCATTAAGGAAGGGACTCCCACTGAGTTCCAAACTCAGGGCAGTGTGAGAATTGCGTTGTTGATCAAACAGCAGGCACAGAGCAGTGCTAGAAGTTGGTGCCCATATGTAGGTAAGGTACCTCCAATAAGCAGCTTACTTCTGTTGGGAGTTGCAGAGCTCTTAATTCTCAACACAGAAATGGACATTCAACCTGCCTCTCCACAGGAAAATCATTCCTATCCCTGCAGGAAACTCGGTAGAAACTACTCTATCCATGGATGTAAGGAAGTACCCATGAGCATTCTTGGGCCTATAACAGGAAAAGTGCTTAAGCATGCTGCTTAGTACATGAGATACACATACATGTATGGGTTGACAGCAGCCCTGAGGAGAAGGACTTGGGGGTACTGGTGGGTGAAAAGCTGGACATGAGCCGGCAGTGTGCGCTGCCAGCCCAGAAAGCCAACCGTATCCTGGGCTGTATCAGGAGAAGAGTGGCCAGCAGGTCGAGGGAGGGGATTCTCCCCCTCCATACTGCACTCGTGAGACCCCTCCTGGAGTGCTGCGTCCAACTGTGGAGCCCTCAACATCAGAAGGGTATCGACCAGTTGGAGTGAGTCCAGCGGAGGCCACGAAGATGCTCAGAGGGCTGGAGCACCTCTGCTATGGGGACAGGCTGAGAGAGTTGGGCTTGTTCAGCCTGGAGAAGAGAAGGCTCCGGGGAGACCTTATTGCAGCCTTCCAGTACTTGAATGGGGTCTACAAGGAGGCTGGAGGTGGGGGGACGTTTTACAAGGGCCTGTAGTGACAGGATAAGGGGTAACGGGTTTAAATTGAAAGAGGATAGATTTAGATGAGATATAAGAGAGAAATTCTTCCTGGAAAAGGTGGTGAGGCACTGGAACAGGTTGCCCAGAGAAGCTGTGGATTCCCCATCCCTGGAAGTATTCAAGGCCAGGCTGGATAAGGCTTTGAGCAACATGGTCCAGTGGAAAGTATCCCTGCCCATGGCAGGGGGGTTGGAACTAGATGGTCTTTAAGGTCCCTTCCAACCCAAACCACGCTTCTCCAGACATATACCAGGATACAGTTGGCTTTCTGGGCTGCCAGTGCACACTGCCAGCTCATGTTCAGCTTTTCATCCAAAGTGGACAAAAGTATATATTCACAAGCCAGAATATTGAATTTCAAAAAGCAAATTGTTAAGATAGTTTCAGGGCTCAAAACTACTGAACTGGTTTGAGGTGAACATGCATGTATGAATTACTGGCTTTTTGTTTTAAATACACACATTCTGTTAAAGATACCTAAAATTCTTCATGTCGCTGGTAAACTCCACATAAATATATAATTTTGATTCCACTGCAAAGGATTTCTGAATGTTTATACTAGATGCATAGAGGCGGGTTTATCTGCATGCAAGGGAAAAACAACTTTTGAAACGTAGAGCAAGGCTCTCCAATGGTGGAAAGGAAATGCCTTAGAAGTTACCTTGTTTCCTTCTGGCAAGGAGGAAAAAAATTTAAAAAAATAGAATCACACATACACAGACAGAATGCAATATAGGAACATAAAGTTCTTATTGTGAGATTGCTGTCAGGTCAGGCACTTTATCAAGAATTACAACAGAGTGAACATGACAGCCCGCGTGAATGCAGAAAAGGGCACTTAACTCTGCATGGTTTAAATCCCAGCATTAATGCACTCGGTTAAAAGACTCAAAATTAGATGATGAAAACTCAGTGAACACACAGTCCAGAGCTTCCTTTTCTCCACTGTCATCATCAGCCACAGACTGTTTACATATTCAGGATGATTATTAGTGCCACAAGCTTCTGTTAAAAAGAAAAACATTACCTTCTTTAATGGAGTTGATTTTCTCATATCATATAGCACAATATTTCTGTCAGAAGCACAGCTTCCCAAAAGGTATGTCTAAAATATAACAGAAAAAAACAAGAAAATCAGTGTGTTTAGTCTTCTAAGTATTTCTAGAGTATGGTCAACAGTTTACATTAGATACCCAAGATATCTCACAAAGTTTGTAGTCAAATAGTTCCTTTTTCAACCAAGGAAATACATTCATTGTTCTTTCTGTTAATTATTCAGCACACACGTTTTAAATAGCTTTCCCTGTAAGGTTCAGAATCCACCCAGTCCTTTCTACTTCACAAGTAACAAGCAATTCCTCACAAACACTTCATCTACAAACACAGGCCACCAAAGAGGTTTATAGGATCTGCTGTAGAAGATCAGATGTAATTCTTCTGCCATCAGGAGGGAGAGATGTCTTGGTCACAGGGAGTAGAGTACCAGATCAGATGAGAGCTCCACAGCCACATAACCTCTACATTGTATGACTGAGGTACAGAATATGCTGTAAGCAGAACAGAAACCACCCTACTTTTCTTTCTCCTCTCCCCCACTAACAGAGAAAAATGAAAAAAAGATGAAAATACATGGTATTCTATTCCAAAGCAATACGGCCATAAAAATATACGTATACACTCCCCTAGATACTATGTAAAAACACACTCTAGATTTGGAACAAGCCACTAAAGATGGTGTTAATGAAGTTTAGATCTAATACTGATCAAGAAAATACTTATTTCCAATACATAACAGAAAAATTACCTCAATGGGATTAAATTTTACACTGCTTATGCTGTCGAAACCCCAGGTCATAGAACACATGGGACTTGTTCTTTGCTCATCCCAAATGTCCACTTGCTGGCCACAGGTAGCAAAAACACCTTCCTTCCAGTGGTGATCAATTCCTGTATACACTGTCTTTAAAAAAAAAAGAAAACAAAAAAGAATTAACAAAACCAACTGTATACATAAATATGCAAGTATGTTCTGTTACAAAAATGATCAACACATCATTGCATCTCAAGTCTGCCATGTTTTCATCAATTTCTATTACTGAAAACCAAGTCACCACTGCTACCAGAAACTCTTATCGGATGTACCCTTGCACAATAGGCTAGCTTTCTGTACACTCACTTAATGAGCACACATGCATTTCTTGTTAACTTACAGTGGAGTCAGCGTCAAAAAGCCCATTTACAAAGTCCTGGCTGACTTCAAAGCAAATGGGAATTTTAAGGGTACAACTACAAGTTTCCAATGCAGCCATGAACAGATTACAGACATTATGAGTTTCAAATTATCTACTTACAAAAAGCATTTAATTTTGTTCTTAAAATAAGCTTATCATAAATTGAAAGTGCTGAAGTGTGTATTTTTCATCTGTTTTTTTTTTAAAAAAAGATGTAAAGTCAAAATTTTGTCTAGAATGGCTGCGAGGTATTGTCATGAAAAGAAGGTTATTTAATGCTAACTAAGCACTGACAACACACGCCTGAAGAGAAAGAGACTACAACAAAATCTGACCAGTTTGCAGGAGAGAGATGATTAATAGAGACAGATCTAAGCAGTCTCTGGTGGCATTTGAGACATTCCTTTCTGGTCACATGTAAAATAAAAGTTGAAGATACTTAAAAGTGCTACTATAAATTTTGATGCCATCACCTCACAATGATAAAAGGTGATATCAAACTGTTTCTCTCTCCTCCAAGAGCTAGATAAGAATTTGTTCAAACAACTCAAAAGATGTGAGAAAAATCAAAATTTCTATTTACTACCTTTCCAAGAATTGTATGAATAGGTTCTTCTTCTTCTCCACATTCCGGGCTCTCCATTTTCCACTGCTTCACTGTTTTGTCATCGCCAACCTGGAAACATTGGAGAAAGCATGTACAGTTTTACACAATGTGCTGGGTTCAGCCAGGGAAGTTAACCCTCTTTACCGTGGCTGCTAGGAAGCTGTTCCTGGATGTAGAGAGCAGCACTGATAAGTTCTCGGCTGGTGCTGGGCAATGCCTGCACTGAATTCAAGGTCTTTCTCCCGTTCTGATTCTGCAGCTGCGTTCCCAGCTCTCGCTGTCTGGCTACAGGCAGTGCTGGGACACACAGTTCAGGCACCTGACCCAAACTGACCAAGGGAGTATTTCATTCCATAGTACGTCATGCGGGGGCCAGAGGCGGGGAGGGGGTCCGGGAGCCATTACTCTTA